CCCCAAAACCCCAAAACCCCAAAACCCCAAAACCCCTAAAATTCAAAAAGTTGTTGAAATTTAGAAATAAGATCTGTTCGACAAAAGTTGGGATAGAGCAACTGAAGATGTTGAATCAAGGACTCTGGTGTCATCAAGCCTGGTTCCTTTAATTTGAATAAATTTGGTGATAGAGTCGTTCATTTCTTGATCAAGAAGTGCCATTACTAGTTCTTTCCCTTTAGACTCTATTCCCTCTTCTTCTTTAATCCTCTTCTTTATCTCTATACGTTTTTTCTTTACTTCTCCATATCTATTATTCCTTTTCTTAATATTCCCCTTCTTCACCACCTTCATCTTCTTCTTTACATCACTCTTTCTCTCCTTCCTCTCCTCTTCAGTCACCTCATCTTCCTCAACCTCGCTTTGCCATCCTTCTATTTCAAAAAATCCTCCCTTAAGCTAACCTAACCCACCAAACAATTCTACTAACTTACCTCCTAGTCATCACTTTAACATATCTCCTCATCTACGTTCAGCCTTTCCTTCCTCTATACCCCTCTTCTGTTCCTCTTCTCTCTCCTCTACTGCCTTCCTTCCCATTTTCTGTTTCTTCCCAGTCTCCTCCCGCAGCACCTGGTGAGGAGTGTGAGTGGGAGGGTTGGGGATTTTAGGGGATTTAGTGAAGATAGGGTTGGGGATGGAGGGGGAGGTAGGAGTGGCGAGGGGAGGAGGGTTAGGAGGGGAGAGGGACTGGAGGGAGTGGAGTTGGGCAGTGAGAGTGGAGATAGAGGTTTGTAATTTCTTGGATAACTTATTAACCCTAAATAAACATCAGAGAAGAGCAATACAAGAATTAAAAGTCATTACTTATCCTCTAAACTTCCTAAATTAAAAAAATAAAGCCTCAAAAATTTGGAACTTCACTAGACAATCAACTATTCTCATCATAAAAATCTCAAATTTTCTAAAAATACCAAATATCTAAATTTGGCACAATATCTGACGAAGGTAACTAAGCGAGGGCTTTTAGCTTAAGCTATCCCGATGTTACACCAAAGTCTAGACGAATCACCTTGGAATCAAAGCTTTTATCTTAGGCATATCCTTCATGTTAGAATGCAAGGAATGGATCACTGTCAGATATGGCTGAATGTCAGACGCTTTTGACATCAAATTTTGTCTACAGGTTACTTAAAAAATACCATATTAATTGAAGTTTCTCTGTATCCTGCTTAATCTATACCTAGTGAGAGGTAAGCTTACTTGGGTCGTATCTTGGGATATCTTTTTATTTGATATCTCAAATCTGACAAATTAATGTTAAAAATACTTCTTCTCAAGTTCAGTATGACTTTCTTCTACTTTCTTTAGTTCTTTAACTTGCTGTTTGAGACCAAGGAAACTGTAGGTTAAGGATAAGATAGCTACCTTTTCTTTATCTTTTGTATTATATCAGGGAATTCTAGAAGTTTATTTATGCACATTTTCTTCTATCTCTCTTAGTCTTTTAGTATAGAAGTCTAAAGGATGAAGGGTGATTAGTACAATCGTAGTCCTATACATGAGATAAAATTTTACTCTGCTAACATCTTTCCTTAAAATTTCAAGCCTATCTTCAATACTATCCACCCTTGATGTGTAAGCATATTGTTTGACTGAGTCTCTGATCTGGGCATCGAAGAATTCTCTCATTTCTGTTTTGGTGACTAAGTTTCCTGTATCTAATCTATTATCAGTTTGCTCTACCTGATTTTGATAGTAGTTTCTTGACACTTGAAAGTCATTTCTGTTTGATGCTACACATGTCTTCGTTATGCTCATTGATTTTGATCAGCATATTCTGGTTATCCTTTTCCATATGATTTACCTAAAGAGTTAAGACGATTATACACCTTTTCTAAAAGAGAAAGATTATTTTTCTTAAGTTCTTCCTGGATAAGGCTAAATCTGGCATCCATGTTTGCCTCATGGCTTGTCTTTACAGTATCAATTTCTGTTGAAAAATCATTGTGGAGCTTTCTAATACGGTTGATCCCATCATGTTCTAGTAAGTCCATCTTCTCACTTAAATGTGTTGTGAAAGCTTGCATCTAAGGATAATAGTTATGACCATACCTTCTGACTAAATACTCCATTGCTACTTATTTTCTGATCTAGCATTGACACTAGCTCATTAGCAGAGCTGAGCATATCCTATTATTTGTTTCTTATTAAAAGTACCTGCTGTTTCAATTGTTGGTGATGTTGAAGGCTTTCAAATTTTCTTTGAAGTTGCATTTCAACATCTTTCTTGGCTCTGTCAAATTCGTACTCCATTCTGTTGTTGAAATCTTGTTCTATCCCTCTAAGCTGCTTTGTAATAACATCTTCCATGGATAATCTCATTTTATTGATATCTATAACAAAATTTAACGATTTCGATAAAATGTTGTTCTTTTAGGTTTAGCTTACTTTCATCAATCTTTAGATTGAATTCCCACTTTATTTTCTCATTATCAGGAGTAGTTCTATCTCGGCCTCCATAAGACTGAGGTCTTGTGGGAGAAAACATTCTTGGATAAGAAGGAACTGGGGATTTATATCCCTCATTCAGAGATCTACCTTTGTTGGATCTTTCTCAGTCGAGGTCATAGTTCTGCAAAGTCTCATACTTTTGATAGGATGATTCAATGTTATCAAAATCATCAAAGAAAGGAGCAGCAGTACTTGGAGAATGGATCCTAGCTTTGAGTTTGCTTGTGTCAAAAGGATCAGGAGATTTTGGAGCAAATTTTAAGCTAACTTTGTTCATCCTTTTGACATACCCTGGTTTTGAGGCCTTCATATTTTCTAAAACAGGAACAGAACCATTATTGAGGCCTTCTATACATCATTAAGTTCTCATCCCTTCAAGGGACATACCAAGATTCTTCTCTGTCTTACTGACCATGTGTGAGATATGTGTGGACCAATCAATAGAATTGGCTTTTGGTTTCTCTAAAGAATGTTTAAATCTAATTACTCAGGCTAACTTTTCGTTCAGGCTTGGAGTCAGACATTTTATTTAAATTTAAAATTTGCTTGAATTTGGGGTTTTGGGGTTTTGGGGTTTTGGGGTTTTGGGG